TTATTATTATTATTATTATTATTATTATTATTATTATTATTATTATTTTCTTTTATTTATTTATTTATTTATTTTTTTTTATTATCCTTATTTATGTGTAAATCCCTCTCATATGTATGTTGATCGTTTAATATTTGATGTTTAAAAAAGTTCAATAAAAAAATAAAAATAAAAAAAACACCAGCTGGGGGGGCACAGTCACAATCACAGGGGTCTAAAATGAGACAGAGGTGGGTACGGTTTGGGTCCTGTGAGCTCCATGCAAACATCACGTACTGGAACTAGTCACGTTTGGAAGTAGTTCTGCTAAATTGACCTCGTTTTGAAGTCAAATCTGAACAAAATCAGCATGAAACCTTCTTAGAATCCACTAAATAACATTATTCCTTCTGTTAAATGTCATCCTTTCATTTTCACAGTATGAGAAATGGAATAAGACACACAGGAGGTCCAGTTTGAATCTAATTTCCTCGGTTGTTTTAAATGTGTGGGAATGTGAATAACCTTTATTAGACACCTTAAACACTTTTATTTTTACCCGGAAAGCGTCTCTTTGTGGTCATTTTTTAATCAAAGCTGAGTTTCCACACAGTCCTCCATCAAACTGTTTTCTCCTTTTCAGAGCAAAGCAATTGAAGGAAACAGCAAAAATATTTCTTAGGACTAAATTAAACCGAACGCAAAGTAAGTTTAGAGGCCCACATCAACTTGTCTTCTGTAAAAATGCAGAATATTAAAGATCAGCCATGTTTTGTCCATCACGAGTCTGAAATAGTGTTGCCAAGAAGAGCATGGACAAAAATCTCCATTAAACATAATTAAAGGTGTGCTGTTGCACAAGTAAATATTCAGCTCCAGTAGATAAAAACCACTGGAGGTTTCCAATTTTGAACGACAGAAAAAAGAGGAGGGCAAAGACAAACAGAGCTGCTGCTTGACGGGATAAAAAACAATCTCGTAGGCAATTATTTACTTTGTAATATTCCTGTTTGTGAAATAAAAAAAGGACAAGTGTTTAAATGCTGATCGAATGACAAGAAACTTCTCCAAGTTTAAAGGCAGAATTATACAAAATATGTAGAGATTTCACTCAAAAGGAGTTCCTGCATGTGGGCAAAGCTTTTGTGGTTTTTCTGTCATGCCTCTGATCAAATCTGTGTTCAGCCATTTCTCAGTCTGGACTGGCCCTGGCGTGACTCATTACCGCCACCATGTGGCCGATTAGGAGAACTGCACTTCCCCTGTCGGATCTTTACAGATGATGCTTTAAAAATAGTCCTTTCAGGGAGCCACGGAACCCAAACCTTAAACAAAGACATGTTTTACGCACATCCACGTTCACAAAAAACTTCTGCTATCAGATTCTCTGCAAAAAGAAACTGTTTGAGCAGACTAACTTTAGCTTCTGAGAGTGTGAACAAACAGCTTAAAATAAGGTCACTGAACCACACGACATTTAACTCGAGATGCAAGCGACACAGACACATGGTCGACAACACAATGGGTTTCTCTATGTACAAAGGGAAAACTCCAGTAAGGTTATAATAGATTCACTTACAGAGCGATTAGGCTTATGCACTGAGAGTACCTGAAGGTGAAGGCTGTCCCTTCACAACGCCATTCTTCGTTCTCTCCTCAAAGTTCATCACCTCTTTGTAGATAAGTTCTGGCAGATGGGATCATTTACAGGGAAACGATCAGTGAGACCCACAAAAATGTGCTTTATATAATCAGCATAATCAGTATCTGTATAATCCACTCATTACAGTGAGTGGATTCTTATAATAATGCCAACTCACAGATTACTGTTGACTCCCTCTCAACATATTTAGTTATTTCCCCTCCCTTTTCTTTCTTTATTTTGTAATAATAAGCGATTATTACCTTTCCATTCATCAATAGAGTGTTCTCGTTCATCCAGCTGTTTGTCGTAGATCTGAGGTGGAGGCTAAAGTGAAGCCAGAGCACAGATCATTTTAGAAAAAAGGACAACAAATCCATCACAAGGATGAGTGTGCACACAAAAACCTTTTCCATACATAATAATAATAGCTCTGCTCGATCGGAGCCTCATTGATCAGAATTCCGGATATTGAGAAACTGATCAATTTGTAAAGATGAAGGGATGAAAACACACCTGAAGGCCA